TTGAGATTTAGCTGTTACTCTTGTTGCATGTCCTTGTAAGACAATCTAGGTAAGAAAAACAGTACGTTTAAATTACTGTATTTATACAGAAATAAGATAGATGACATTACTATTTTCAGAATTAAAACGGTAAAACTGTAATGTGGGAATCCAGACTCAGGTCATCACTTTACCAAGATTCTATCACTTTGTTTTTTGGTTTTTTTTTTTTTTGTCCTTTTTGAGACCGGCCGCACTGCGCTCAGCCAGTGAGCGCACCAGCCATCCCTATATAGGATACGAACCCGCGGCAGAAGCGCTGCTGCGCTCCCAGTGCCGCACTCTCCCGAGTGCGCCACGGGCCCGGCCCAAGATTCTATCACTTTGACTTGGGTTAATTTTATTCCATGGCTGAAGTAAATGGCTCTGGAAGTCAAAAGGAGAGCCATAGGAATGCACACCTAGGGCTCACAGATCTATTCCCACTCTAGAAAATCAATGCAAGTAGCATCTCCATTGCATTGTATGCAGGTATTCTTTGACATACTCAAGGGATATACCTGTATCTATATTACCTGTATCTAAATGATTTTTAAGGACATGTGTCCTAAAAACGTCAAAAGCATTTTCAATTTCAAAAGGATTTCAAAAGCGATGAAAAAGAGGGGATTAGGTCATTTAAGTCATCTGTAGGAAACATCACAATCCATATGATCCTGCTCTGAACATATTCAGTAGATCATCATTTTTCTGGGATGCAATACCACAAGAATTCAAACAACAGCACTGATTTTAAAGGCTTTTTAAAGATGACCACCTAGGGCCGGCCTGTGGCTCACTTGGGAGAGTGTGTTGCTGGTAACACCAAGGCCATGGGTTCGGATCCCTATATAGGGATGACCGGTTAGCTCACTTGGGACAGCATGGTGCTGACAACAACAAGTCAAGGGTTAAGATTCCCTTACTGGTCATCTTTAAAGAGAAAAAAAAAAAAAGATGATCACCTAAAACTTGAAGAATGATGTTTTCTTCTGTGCTGAGTGTGTTGCAACATCCCATCTGTGCACACTGTCATACATGGGTCAGAAATGACTCTGCCAGATGTTTTATATTGTAAAGATTTTAAAATAATTGAGCAAAGATCATCATGACTGAGGAGATACTACAGACACTACAGGTTGAAAGAGAAATGTGAAAATAAAAGGCATAACAGAATTAAGCAGATGACCCTCATGGCTTTTTTCCAAAAAGCTGTTAGAATCTCTGATTTCCGTTAAAAAGAAATATCTTATTTCCATAAGAGATTCTTCCACACCTCACAACACACAGATCAACATGGAGTTTTTGGTAAATTCAGAATTTACCAAAAAAAGTTTCATAAACTTTTTTTAAATTGCATCATGTTTTTATCCCCATTCTTAAGGAAATGAGTGCGCTTTATAGAATCTGATTTCTAATGTGGAAACTGATAAACAAAAATTATTTTTATTTACATTGCTAAATATTTAGGTTCTAAAATAATGTGTGTTTCCCCCATTTCCAGATAAACCCAGATATTTTTGATCTGCACAAAATTATGACTTAATACACTTAATTCATTTATATATTTGTGTTAAATAAAATGTTTTTCTAGGGTAGATGCATTTGTTTCTGTTGTTTTGTTTTGTTTTTGGTGGCTGGCCAGTATGGAGATCCAAACCCTTGATCTTGGTGTTATAACACCATGCTCTAACCAACTGAACTAACCGGCCAGCCTAAGGTAGATACATTTTAAAAGCTTCTTTCTTTTTTTTTTTTTTTCTTGTCTTTTTCCGTGTCCGGCAACGGATCGCAACCCTCAGTGTTGCCCCTGTACCGGACTGGGACCGGCAACGGGATTGCAACCCTCGGTGTTGCTCCCGCGCCTCGCTCAGCCAGTGAGCGGGAACCACTCTGTATGTGGGATCCGAACCCTCGGGTGGGAGCAGCGCCGCCGCGCTTCCCAAGCGGCGCACTATCCAGTGCGCAACCGGGCCGGCCCCTTAAAAGCTTATTTCTTACCATACTGTATATGGCAAAATAGCTTTCTAAAAATCATTCTATTCTTCTGGAAGAAAGCTATCTAAACTCTGGGAATGGGTCAGGTCCTCACCATTCTGGGTAATGATCGACTACAGTATTATACATGTTTAAATGGTAATGGGAGACAATGGAGGAGTTACAGAGGCTACAATGAGGGTGGGGGGACTGAGAGGGACTCTGCATTAGATAACAGTATAGAAGATGTAGATTTTTTCCTTGCAACTGTTAAATCAACTGAAAAACAAGCAGTAGATCTCAATGTAATGTAATTGCTAAATTACAAGCTATTAATTTAGCCATGCCCGGGCCGAGCCTGTGGCACACTCAGGAGAGTGCGGCACTGGGAGCGCAACAGCGCTCCCGCCGCGGGTTCGGATCCTATATAGGGGATGGCCGGAGTGCTCACTGGCTGAGCGCAGTGCGGTCGGTCTCAAAAAGGACAAAAAAAAAAAATTTAGCCATGCCCATGTACTGTGGCGTACCTGTGAAATGTTGCAGACCACAATTTTCAGAATGAAGGTGGACCCATGTTAATAAAATATTTACATAAAAAGTGTGCAAAATTCTCAATGGACACGGAAATGCTTACATACTGAAAGTGTCTATATGAAGAATAATATAATTGCATGTCTTCTCTGCCTAGGAAAATCCATCTCTCTACACCTATGAGGCCTGTTCTCATCATTCCAAACAGAGCTGATTCTTAAGTTCCTCAGCATACACGTAATATTTAGTGTATATCACTGGCATGGCACTTGAGCCAACTTATTTTAATATTTATATTTCCTTCTCTTCCCTACTAGTCTAACAGCTCCCTGAGGTCAAGGACTATGTCTTATGTATATTCATAACACACTGATAGGTTCACACCAAAATTGTCACAAGACATAAAAGGATTTATATCGCTACAATATGTGAACAGAATTAAAAGGAACCAAGTCTTTTTTGGAGTGTTAAAAAGGTTCTAAAATTAAGATTGTGATGATGACTGATCAATTTTGTGAATTTTCTGAAAACCACTGAGCTGTACACTTAAAATGGGTGAGTTTTATAGTAAGTGAAATATATCTTAAAACTATAAGGAAAGGAAATAAAATAAAAGATAAGTGGAATAAGTTTCTATCTCAAGAAACAGAAGAACCGCCATGTATCCTTTACAAATAAGCTATATTTTAAAAACTTCACTATTATTAGTTTTTCATGAATTATAGCAGGAGTACAAGTACATTGGAGGAATCTGGATACCGCAGTGAAGAACAAAGGGAAAAAGTTTAAGTGAACTATAATTCCACCATCCAAAGAAAACTACTGTTAACATGTTACATGTCTCCATTCAGTAATTTTTAATTAATTAATTATATTTTATTTTTTAAAAAAGATGACCGGTAAGGGGATCTTAACCCCTGACTTGGCGTTGTCAGCACCACACTCTCCCAAGTGAGCTAACCGGCCATCCCTATACAGGGATCCAAACCCATGGCCTTGGTGTTATCAGCACCACACTCTCCTAACTGAGCCACAGGCTGGCCCTTCCATTCAGTAATTTTTTAAATGCACATACAGTCATCCGCCGCAAAACAACATTTCAGTCAAACATGGACTGTATATTACAACACTGGTTTCTTAAGATTGTAATGGAGATGAAAAATTCCTTTTCTATTTTTAGATATGTTAAGATACACAAGTGCTAACCATTGTGTTACAACTGCCTATAGTATTCAGTACAGTAACATGCTGTACAGGTTTGCTTGTAGCCTAGGAGCAACAGACTATACCATATAGCCTAGGTGTGTAGTAGGCTATACCACCTAGGTTTGTGTTTGCAAAACCACAAAATCACCTAATGATGCATTTTCCAGAAAGTATTGCCATTGTTAATGGATGCATGACTTTATATTAAAGTGTAGTTTTACTTTAGCAGAATTGGCTTTAGGCTTTATATGAATTCCAAAGGCAGATTTTAATTTAAAATGAAACTCCAAATCAAAAGAAAAGAGTTCTTGCTATTCTCTCCTCCTCCTAAGAGCACCATGGAAGTGAGAGTGCTTACCACCACCCCAACTCTGACAAAGCCCAATAGCTCACACCTTCAGACTGGTTAGTGGCAGCAAATTATCCTAGAGGGTCCCACATCTGAATCTTTTCTCTTCCCTCCTAGACCAATTTACTAGAAGCTTCAATTCTGGCATAAAATATGTATCAAGAATCTGTCACCTAAG